TCAGACTTTATCTCTTATTTGTACTGAATGTAAAGTGATTGGCTCGATGTCTAGCACATAAGAAGTCAATGGTGGAGGGGGCAACCCCAGGAGGGGCTGAAGGAAGCCACAGGAAGACACAGAATGGCAGGTTATTGGAAAAAACTCCACCAGGACCTTGGAACTTCAAGCTTCTAATTCTTTATATAAACCATTTTCACATACTATTGCAATCTGTTTTCCCAACAAGCCTAGGAAGTGGGAAAGAACTGTATTACTATCATTATTCCTGTTTTGCTGATGAGAAAACAGAGGCTAAAATATGAAGAAACGAGAAACCAACTATGCTGCTGAGATTACAACCTGTAAAAATCCCTCTGGAAAACAGTTTGGCAATATATGTAAAATTCCTTAAACTGAGCACATCTTTTTATATAGCAAATATATTAACAAGAATTTACTCTAGGAAGCAATCAGATCTATATATGCATCCACCAAAGCAATGGTTATAATTACAAAGATGTAAAAATGGAAAAAAAATGCCCAGTAAAATAGGAAACTGGTTAAATATGTTATGATGCTTTATACAATGAAATGGCATTAAATTTATCAATGGAATTTTTTACACAATATGTTTCTAATTGAAATTTTCAAGTTGCCCAACAGTTTGTGTAAGTATCAATCAATTTTGTTAAATAATAAACCTGTATGCACAAAAAAGACTGGGGGGAAAAGAAGTCCTTAAAAAAACAAAAGTCCAAGGGGGCTAGTGACAGCCCTTCCTAGAACACGGGGGGTGGAAACAGGAAAACCTTCTCTTTGGGTTCTTGTCCTTATTCTGTAGCCACAACCCCCACCCCCAGGGTCCTTCCTCTAAGTGGACTTATCTGATGCTTGGTGACAACAGAGGTACTAGACTCAGGTTACTAGTGCTAAAGGGCGTCACAGGAGCGCTGCCTGTTTCAATTCACACAGGAGGAAACCAAGGGCCCAGAGGGCGGTCACTTGGTCCAGGTTTCTGTGGCTAGTTTAGAAGTAGAAGACCTAGGTTTCCATTCTAGTCCAAATTTCAATTCAAGGCTTTTTCTCTACACCACTGCTGCCCAACAGCCACTAGGAAATTTGAATGGGTGACAGAATTCTGCAGCTGTTAAAAATCAAATGTTAGAACATACACAGCATTGTGGGCAAATGTCCATGGCATAAAGCAGGCCACCCAACACTATACAGACCCCTGATTTGGGCGGGTGAGGGGGAGTCTGCAGAAGAAAAAGACCCAAAGGGATGATCACCTAAGTAATAATGGGATATATCTCCGAGTAGGAGAATTATAGATGATTTTCATGTGCTTTATTTTTCAGTTTTAGAAAATGAATACACATTAGATTTTTAATTCAGAAAAAAGTGGAGATTTGTAGCACCATCTAGATCTTCTCATAATTTCTGAACCAAGCTTTAGTCTGCCTGTTCCAGTGAAAGCAAACATTTCTTGAGAACAAAAAAAGTGAATCACTAGGTAAATATTGATCTGTTGCTAAGTGAACAAGAGAAACATCATCCCATGTAAGCAAAGTTTTCCTCCAGACATTAAAAGATGCATTTCTAATGTATCTTTGGATAGATAATCATAAAACAGATTCAAAAACTAACTTTAATGCTGAAAGGGAGGCAGAAAAAACTTTATGCTCATAACATGTTTTCAATCTTCACCTTTCATCAGCTTTTTTTTTTCTATACCAGAACAGCAGGGGGATATGCTCTGATTCCACACACAAGTCATAATAACCGGCTGCCTTCAGTCAGGGTTATTGAGTAACACCATTAGCTTGCGGTAAATCAGTTAACTGAACTTTCTAGCCCAGAAAATTGTTTGTGAAGGCTGCAGACAGGCTTCCTCTAGGAAAAAAAATCTTCAAAGTCTCAGGAGAAGCACCTTTACACATAACAGACATGTTTCCTGCCTTCAGCTTCAGATATATGGGAGGCTGTTTCAGAAATGTGACACAGAGAAAGAACATCAAGGACAGTGGCTTCCGACAGAGTGATTAAAATAGAAAGAGGGTCATGTGGGAATTAGAAGGCCACTCTGGGGCCAGTCCTGCTGAAGACTCTCACCTTGGGCTGGCCCCTTACTTCTCTCCTCTGTACCCTAAGAAGTCTGTCCACCTCCCCATGGATAAGAGGGGGACCGGGGAGGGGGGTGGGGGGATGGGTTGGCCTGGTGATGGGTATTGAAGAGGGCACATTCTGCGTGGAGCACTGGGTGTTATGCACAAACAATGAATCATGGAACACTACATCAAAAACTAATGATGTATGGTGATTAACATAACAATAAAAAAATAAAATAAATAAAAACAAAACAAAACAAAAAAAAGAGGGGTACCAATGCTGGTTTCAGTTATCCTCTCTGCTCCTGGGAAGTTTCCTCAAAATGAGAGGAAAAATCAGTCCAACCTCAAAAGTCATTAAGAAGATTAAATGCATAATGTCTACGAGAGATACGCAACAAATTTAAAACGCAGGAAGAAGGACAAAAGAGGGTAACGTGAAAATATTCTGCTGAGAAGCTACCTGAGTGGAGGATATAGTTATTCCTAAAATTAGAACCTGCATAAAAAATAAAAGGTTAACTGGGGCATCTGGGTGGCTCAGTTGGTTGAGCATCCAACTCGACCTCAGCTCAGGTCTTGAGCTCGGGGTTGTGAGTTTGAGCCCCGTGTTGGGCTCCAGCGTGGAGGCTACTTAAACAAATAAATAAATAAAATAAGAGGTTAGTTAAAAGATGCAGGGGAAAAAGTGAATCCTTTTGCCCTCTGATCATTTGTCATGTTCAAGTAAGAGAGTTTGGATGTTTAGAATTTAGCTGTTTAAGTAATGTTCCAACGTGCTCAGAGGAGGCTGGTCCTATTCTCAAAGGGATGGGTCTTGGAAGGGAACAGTTTCTGGGCAACTTGTCCCTTTGCACCTACCCTCAAACCATAGCTAAGTAACTAAGGCTGATCTCTACCCTTCCCTAATTTGGGTTTTACCAGGAGAGAGCAGGTGACTGGTTAACGACAGGGGTGGTGCAGCGGTGGACACCGCCACAAGGTTCAAGGAGGTCTGTGGCCAGGGACACACTTCCACACCAGGAGAGTGGGTGTGGCCATCTCAACAGTGTCATGTGGCGCCCTACCAGCATCTTAGGCTCAGGGAGAGAGTGTGCCAGGGAGGAAAAGAGAGCAAAGAGAACTGTTGGATTTAATGTTTCTGGGTTGTTTTTTAAAAGGAAAACATGAAAAGAGGTAAAAACTTGCCATAATCAACTTTTTTTTTTTTTTTTTTTACTTTGAACAATTAGTATGGGATCAACCATTCATGATGTTTTTCCTGAGCCCGGACATCAGCAGCTTTTCCGTGGCTTCCCCTAGCTACTCAGGAACCCATGCTGGGTAGAACTTTGCACTCATCTACGTTATTAACTTACATACTGACCCAATACTTTCACTTTTTTCTCTAAAAATGAGATAACCCAGGAACTTGGGTCCAGCTGGGTCCCACTCAATATGAGAATAGGTGCAAATGTCACTTGCCAGTCAGGACTAGTGAATTCTCTAAATTAAGTAATGAAGAAAAATGCCAGCCGAAGTGGAAAGCATACAGATTCTGTGCACCCCCATTAGGTGAGGAGCTTCTTCAGTGCATACCCTGCTGAATAAGAATGCCTGGTCTAATGCCCGGTTGTGGGGCTACTCTATCCCCGCGGTGATATAAAGCGCCCCCCCCAGTAGGGGCAGTTCCAAAGTCAACATGATGACACATACCATACGTAGCACTCCCCACAAATACTAGGCAACATGACTGACTTATGAGTCACTCTCAACTTCATAGTAGCTTCTGGGTCCTGATATCACTGTTAAAAGTAAGAAAACTCCACACAACACCCTAAACACCCAAAGCCCATGATGGCAGCCCTTTGGCCTTGGCTAAGAGCACGTAAATATCAACTAGACAATCACACAAGACAAAGCAAGAACCCAACCTCTCAGATGCGTCTGCTGCCCACTTGTCCACTCTTAGAAGAGAATCATTTACCCAATGTCACCAACCCCCTAGAGGGGATGAAAAGTTATATCAGGAGAGGGGGAAATCTCCTACTACTATCCACTGAGTATGAGAAACTTCACTGAGTTTAGTCCTCATGCTGAGGGGACACTGTTTAGTAAGACAGTTCTAGAAGTAGCTCCCATCTTAAGGCACGCCGGGCAGAACAGCATCCATTTGAAGAGGCACAAACAGTGAAGCAGCAATAATCAGCAAGGTGGAAGGAATTCAGACCCAGGAGAGCAGGGAATGCTTCATGCCCCAGGCTTGGCCTGAGCCCTGAGGGAAGACAGATTTATTCGGAGGACATCAACAGGGAAAAATTTAACCACGCAACTCTAGAAAACAGGGGTAACAGGGAATGCAGATTCCCATTACTTCACCACTACGTTTCCTGTCTCAGAAGCAGTGCTCACCCTTGCTACCTCCAAAATGCGGTCCTGGGGCTTCACGGGGAAACCCAGGTCACTCACAATTCAAGTAGTTCTGAGCCGATGTTCAATACATTTTTCAGTAACGCAGATGGAGAGTACCCAACCAGTAAATCTGTGCTTTTTTTGGCTTATTAATTATTTTAGGTAAGGATGGTTCCTCTGTCCTAGGACTGGCAATAGTGCACTTGATAAAGGGCTAGGACACTGTCCAAGTTTTCTGTATCTACCTAAAAATGACCACTGCTTTTGGCAAGGCCCTTGTCATGGATGCTGACACCACCGTGTGGAGGAAGGGATGTTTCCAGGCAACAAAGAGCTCACCTTGTCCCCTACCTTCCAGGATTCAAACACCAGACTTGCACTGAGACTGTGGCTATTTTAACGCCAATGACACAACTTTACCTGGATGCCTTAAGGACACAATGTGAAGAGATTCTCTGCACACTGCACTGGCCAAACAGACCAGCGGGTGGGCGTACGGTGGGTGTGGGGTCTACTCACTCTTTGGTCAGAAGAGGACAGGACTTGAGCAGAAAGCGTGAGAGCCCCGAGTCCTGGAAGTAGAGGTCAGGCGGGGCTGTGGGGCTCTTCAGATTCAAGCAGCGGACGATCACATACAACACGGCAGCCACGGCAGCCAGCTTTACCCCGTCAAACACGGCCGGGAGCTCGGGGGTCTCTAGCATGGCATTCATCTTGACCTGGGGAGCAGAAGCACACAGCTAGGGTTAGAAGCACAGTGAGGAGGGGCGGAGCCCACCGCACTAAGAGGCAGAGCTGATGACAAGTCACAATCCGGATATGTCCATCAGGCCACCCAGGGTGATGGCCATCAGCGCCTTCAGGCCACCAGTGGCCAGGCAACAACCCAAATCACAAACAGGCTTGTGCACTGATACACTGGGTAAGGTTTTGTTTTGTTTTAAATCGAATGAGCTCTTCTAAGAGAAGCAAATTAGAAAATGTTGAGAATAGCATCCTTTGGGGAGCGGGAGAAAGAAGTCCTGCCAAAGAGGCTCAAGCTGGACTAGAGGTGGCCCACTGATTTCCATGGGCTGGTAGCCTTGAGTGGCTCTGCACCAGGTGTGTGTGAAGCATCATGTTTACAGCCCAGGACAGAGATGTGGGAGGGACCGCTACTGCCCACAGGTGTGATGGTACTGCTCACCGCCCCCCTCCCGCCCCCCCCACTGCCAGAGCAGGAGGAAACAAAGCAAGCTGGGTCTGACTCAGTCATCTGCTCCTGGGTGGGGGCAGGGAGGGGGCAGCCCCAGTGCTGGAGTCAAGTTCAGACTCGGCCCGGGGTTGGGGGGAGGGGGCAGCGATCCTTGAGCCTGGGTTTCAGGCAGTGTGAAATGGAACTCGGCCAGTTTCTTTCCCCACTGAAGGTACCTGACGACGACAGCCATTAGTCCAAAATCCAGACCAAAATTAAAAACTGGTAGTGCAGAAAACGTGTATGCAGGTCTGGCTTTGCTCCGAGCTCTCCTGATATTTTATGTTTTGAGGTAGCTTTACCTTTTATACAACACACACACACACACACGCACACACACACACACACACCTTCCAAACATCAACAACAACAAAAGTAACAGCAACAAAAATCCAGTCTTTTCCTTGCTGCTCAGGAGAAAAGCAGAACATTAGCTGTTACCTTAAAAATCAGGGAAACCACGAGCTTAACGAAAAGGAGAAAATGGTAACTCACAGCCAAGGTAGCTATGGCAACAGCTTCCCTGGAATGGTATCAAGTAGCCTCTGCTAAAAACAGTCAGCATGAGAACTCTGGTGGCCCACAGTGCAGCCGGAATGGGCAAGACAAAACAATCTCCCAAAAACGTGTGGGGGGCATGACCAAATGAACTCTCTACAGACCTGCAATGAGGCCAAAGGGGTCCGAGAAACCCTTTCCTGAGGTCAAGGTGACGTTGGCAAATACAGGACTGAACACACTGCCGATGACCTCTGGCAGAGGTCCCAATTCAGTGAGGAAAGGCAATGAAAGATCAGGGCACAACTAGCCTTCCACCATGGGGGCAAGAAAATAATTTTAAAATATGGGTCCTACATGATTTTGAATCAAAATATACTTTCAGCTGTATCAACCTTTGAACCTTTACGATCTGAAAGTTGCCTTAAAACCTAACTTCTGGAGACGTGTCACCTCGCCCCTGGGGCCACGTCCCCGAAAGGCTGGCTATTTATAAACCCTTAAAACAGGATTCTTCACTTGGGGTCTGTGGGTTCCCTACAGGATTCCAGGGTCCAGGTACCCCCTGAAATTAGATGTAAAGGTTTGTTTGTATGTATGTGGTTTTCTGTGGCAAGGATCTGCAGATTTCAAGATTTATTTATTTGAGAGACAGAGCGCACGAGAGCATGTGCTCTGGGGAGGGGCAGAGGAAGAGAGAGAATCTCAAGCAGACTCCTCGCTGAGCACAGAGCCCGACGCGGGGCTCGATCTCATGACCCTGAGATCGACGATCTGCAGATTTGATCAGGTTCTCCAAGGGGCGTGTGGCCTAAAAACGTACACAGCTCCCAAAGTGCTCCACAGGTTTCCCTTGCAGCTCTGGTCCCCCACCTCTCGGGTACCCTGCCACCTAAGCCAGTCAAACCGGAGGCAGACAAATACCCAGGATGCTGCTGTTCATTAATATGGATTTTCAAGGCCCCAAACAAGGTCCAGAAGGAGTTCCAAAGTCTTTCTGACACGAAGCTGGTAACACGCTCTTTCCTGTCCCCTTTGTTGGAAAGACACCGAGAAAAGCAGCAGGTGGCTTTACCGGTTTCCTTGTTGGTCAAGAATTGAAATTTTAGGGAATTAAACAAAGAAGTTCCTCCCACCATCCCCACTTCCTCTCATTACTTCCTAACATAAGGGGAAGTGAAAAGGAGAAACAAACAAAAGCCTGGGCCATACATACCTATGTCCCTTCTTCCTCTCTACTGCAAATATTGACTGTCCTTGAAGAGTTGTATAGCTGGGCCGCTCGGGTCAGATCTCCTATTCAAATTAACCTAAAAGCTGAAAAGATTGGATGGTCACATTCCATTGGATGAGAAAGAAGCAATTTAATTAAACTAAAAGTACGGTCTAAGTCGCTCTTCATTTCAAGTCTTTGGGGAGAGAGACCATTTCTTTCATTAACACAAGTGCCACACTCTTGGCCGCTTGGCCATCTGAACAAACCTGCTGGGGGACGTCTTTGTGGAGCCACAAATTGACAGGCTCTCTGGTTTCCAGGACGAGTTATCTGCTGCCTTCAGAACTCTGGCTAAAGCAAACCCATACGACTTTCGTGCTTTATCTTAGAAAGTCATCTTCACCAACGCCTGAGAGTTATCATCTGGGTGACCGAGGACATCACTTACTAGCAAGGCCTGAGGTCAAGACAGCAGTGGGTTGACGCATCCCTTGTCTCCCAAACATCGAGTAGTGACAGACGAAATGTGAGCTGAGAAAGAGAAGGCTGTGAGCATGGGCGGGCTTGGAAGCCCAGCACTGGGAGCAGAAGGACGCTGAAGGCACGGAGTGGGAAGTCACACCACCTGCCAGGAGTCTGGGTCGGGGCTGGGGGTTGGCGGTGGCGGGGGGGGTGCCAGGAACTGAAAGTGCTCTCTGTGAGTGGGGACCCAGAGCCGGGCCCACTGTGCTGCAAATGCATGGCTTCCAAAGCAGAAAACATAAAGGGGTGGGGGTGGAGGGGACAGCGGTTGTTTACATAGTGCTACCTATGTGCACCAAGGCCTGTCTGTGCTACTTTACCTCTGCCATCCTTACTGCACCCTGTGGAGCTGGTACTGGTACTATCCCCATTTCACAGACGAGGAAACTGAGGCATAGGGAATTTGAGTGACTTGCCCAAGGCCACCCAGCTAGTAGGTAGAGAAACCAGGATTCCTATCTGGCTCCGGAAGCCCTCCCCTTCACCACCACGCTGTGCTATTTGTAAGGAGGAAAAGTAAAGAGAGAGAGAGAAAGAGACAAAAGCAGGCAAGAAAGAAAACCGAAAGGACAGAAGACACAGAGGAGACACCAGCAGCTTGCCCAAAGTCACACAGCGGTGAGAGCGGAGCTGGGATCCGAGCCCAGTGCTCTCTGATTCCATCACATCAAAACGACTTCAAAAGGAAATGAAAGCCGGTTGAAGGGGAGACTCAATTAACCTTCAGAGGAGTCTTGCTCAACCTCAAATTTTTATTATTTCTTCATATTCTGAGACAAATTAGCCACAGAAGACCAGGCTTTGTTGAGGTGGGGACCAAAAAGCAAAGTCTCCAGCCACATCACAAGGCACTTGACCTTTCCCGGGCTCGGCTGCCAACTGGAAAACACGGATGGAACAGACCAAAGATCCTAAATCAGCAGCCCATGGGACTGCATTGTGTTTGACTAGCATTTTAAAAAATTAAGTTCATTAGCCACCAAGTTATAAACACCAGGGGACTTCAGATAAAAATCTGAATTTCTGGTTTCTCTTGAAAAAAAAAAAAAAAAAAACCTAGAAGATATGGCAACAGTGAGCTTGTGTTCCCACTTGAGAACAAGGGAGATGGAGCTGAGAGGGGGCTGCCCCCTCCAGACAGGGCCTGCGATCTCCACACTGCCACAGTCCCCACCACTCCCTATCATGGCCCCCAACACTGACACCTTCCGCCGCCCCCCCCCATGGTGCTGGAGTGGTTCCTGTGGCCATCCAAATACGGGACCCTTGGAGAAACCTGTGTTAAGATCCTTCTGGCCCTGGATAAGTCTGTGCTGACTGAATATTCAAAACATACACTAATCAGAATATGTATAAATAATAAATTCACAGAAAAACTTACGGAAAGACAGAGTGATACGTAAGAAGTGATGCATTTTGTTGTTATTCACATGGATGTTTATCTATCTTGACTTTTTCCACAAACTATTTGAGGAGGTTTCAACAAAATGCTGAATGGAAATGCATGTAGAACAACCCAGAAATGTGGCAGAGGGCTTCTTTTTTGCTTCCCAAAGGTCTCTCCTTCTCCCTAGTAACAGAGACCAGTAAAATGAGCCTGCCTTGCTGGAAAAAACTGTAGATCCCAGCTGCCCTTGCAGGTAGGTGAGTCCATGTGACTAAATTCTAACCAATTCTGAAGGTGCTGGTCTGATTTCTCTGAAGCCTCCTTAAAAGGCAGGAGGTTAACTCTTCTTCCACCCTTTTCCCTTCATGTATCCCAGGAATGCAAACGATGTGACTGCAACCCCAGCAGCCATCTTGGGCCATGAAGTGACCTTAAGGTTGCTCTACGAGCCACATTTAAGAGGATGGCAGAGTAGAAAGACAGAATCCTGGGGTCCCTGATGATTTCATGGGGCCACCATGTCAGACCTAGACTGCCTACCTCCAGGCTTCTTTTATGGGAGAGAATAATCCCTTGCATGTTTAAGCCATTGTTACTTCTAGACTTTTCTAGTCTGCAATTTTTTAAAAAGATATTTATTTATTTATATGAGAGAGAGAGAGCGTGCAAGTGGGGAGAGGAGCAGAGGAAGAGGGACAAGCAGACTCCGCACTGAGTGTGGAGCCCAATGTGGGGCTTGACCCGAGATCACAACCCAAGCTGAAACCAAGAGATGGATGCTTAACTGACTGAGCCACCCAGGCGCCCCTAGTCTGCAATTTCTAAAAATACAGAAGCAAATACTATATACTCAAATCTTTCTGGATGCTACAATCACTGGGTCATTAGAGTATAGGTAATTTTTCTTTTTTTTTCTTTTCCAAAATTCATAATAATAATATCATTCTCAGAAAAAAGTCTTAAGATAGCAACTAATAAAATCTAAGAAGGGGGGTGCCTGGGTGGCTCAGTCGGTTAAGTGGCTGCCTTTGGCTCAGGTCATGATCCCAGGGTCCTGGGATCGAGCCCCGCATCAGGCTCCCTGCTCAGGGGGGAGCCTGCTTCTCCCTCTCCTGCTCCCCCTGCTTGTGCTCTCGCTCTCTGTCAAATAAAAAAATAAAATCTTTAAAAAAAAATCTAAGAAGGTATTACGAACATCTAGACAAGAAAAATACCTCTGTCAACACACACAAGAATTATGGATGTGAGTAAGCCTAGAACGGACCTGAGCTTTCTGACTACAAGAGCAAAGAGGGGAACCCCAGTCAAACCCCTGGTCCTCCAAAGTGGAAAGAAAGGTACTGTGTATTGTGCTCTTATCCCACAAAGGAAGACAGATAAGAAGGGGAAGCAGGGCTTTTCTGACACAGAATCACTACAAAAACAAAAACAAAAACAAAAACCTCTGTGGGACTTTATATAAGGGGACCTTGAGTGATGTGATAGGCAATGTCCTCCTACAATGTTTTTAATAGCAAATGCAGTAGAGAATTAATTTCCTCAACCCTCAAAAAATGCCAAGAGTTTTGAATGGAATTCAGTTCAGTGAAGGCAATCCTATGAGAGATTTGTAATTATTATGGTCCAAAGATGCACCCTTGATCCCAAAGTCCCAAGAAGCAGGGCAGTTCTACCACATGTCCCCAGGGCTACCTCCCTTGAACTGCAGTGGCTCAAGGCCCCGGCCACCTACTGTGTGCCTAGCACTATGCTAAACATTGCGTTGGACCACAATGAAGTAGAATTCTCATTTTACCTAGGGAGAAAAGAAGTTAACCTTTTTAAAAATTTTTATTTTAATTTCAGTATAGTTAACATACAGTGTAATATTAGGTTCAGGTGTACAATATAGTGATTCAACACTTCCGTACTACACCCAGTGCTCATCACGACAAGTGCCCTCCTTCGACCCCATCCCATATTTCACCCATCCAGCCGCCCACCTCCCTGCTGGTCACCATCAGTGTGGTCTCTACAGTTAAGAATCTGTTTCTTGGTTTGTCTCTCTCTTTTTTTTCTCCTTTGTTCATTTGTTTTGTTTCTTAAATTCCACATGAGCGAAGTCAAATGGTATTTGTGTTTCTCTGACTGAACTTTCACTTAGCATACTACTCTCTAGCTCCCTCCATGTTGTTGCAAGTGGCCAGAGTTCATTCTTTTTGATGGCTGAGTAATATTTCAGTGTGTGTGTGTGTGTGTGTGTGTGTGTGTGTGTGTGTGTGTATGTATACCACAGGTTCTTTATCCATTCATCTACTGATGGACATTTGGGCTGTTTCCGTATCTTGGCTATTATAAATAATGCTGCAGTAAACAAAGGGGTGCATGTATCCCTTTGAATTAGTATTTTTGTATTTTGGGGGTAAATACTCAGGAGTGCAGTTACTGGATTGTAGGGTAGTTCCATTTTTAACTTTTTGTGGAACCTCCATACTGTTTTCCATAGTGGCTCCACCAGTTTGCATTCCCACCAACAGTGCATGAGGATTCGAAAAGAAGTTTATCTTAAGGCTCTCTATACTTTAGAAACTTGGGGACAAGAATAAATTCGTCTAGGAAAAAATTAAGCAGGGAAAGACTCATGGAGAAGCTAGATCTACAACTGGGACTTGAGTATAGGATTTAGAAGAAGCACGTGTAAGTGTGAGAGTGTGTGCATGTGCACTTACAGTTTATATCAATTATATATAAATATATATTTAATACACATATTAAATCCATATATATACACACGTGTGTGTGTGCGCGCGCGCGTGTATAAAACCAGGCATTAATGAATTGGCAATTTCAGAACAAAACCCTTGACATTCATTTTAATTTATCTTGCAGCATTTGATTTTATGGGGTTCTCTCTTTCCAAGTTTGACCTGCCACAAAATATTCATATTCTGAACTTGTTCCAGACAAAACAAAGTAAGCTGCCATTGTACTATTTCGTGTGCATGTGCCCCCTCTCCCTTTTCTGGGCAGGCAAAATCCGGTTAATAGGAACATCAGGCAGCCCAGGTGGGGAAAAGAAGGCACACAGAATAGCAGGGGGGCTAGGTGTGTGCAAGACAGAAAGGAAGCCTCGCCTGACCCCCACCTTACCTCCACCTCCTTGAAAGGAAGGGCTAGGGCTGGGCTCACTGCATACCAGAGAGCCACACACCT